TCACTCTGGTTCCTATCTCTCCACCTCGAGGACTTATACCAACGCTACGGAAAGAGTGGGGTGGTTGGGGGGGGGGGACCCGGAGTCTATGGTGGGTATGAACTATGTGAATAGGCGGGTTTGGAGAACCCTCTGCCTAAATTCATAACGTTCAATTACCCACCATAAACTCCGGTCAGTCAAAATGACTATTTTGAACTGTAGGCAGAGTCAGACACCAATAGGTGTTGGGTTTTCTGAGCAAACAGAAAAATGATGAAAGTCTTTTCCCAGTCCGGGATGAAATACAATAATCACTCAACACCCTGGTTGGGGCCCAAAAAAGGGTGGTGTCTTACCTTGCCTGTGCTAACCCGGAGCAAGAAGCCAAGATGCTGCTACGGTAACAGGGTTCGGTGTGCCTGAGAAAGCTAGACCACAACCCAATTCTGTGGGTAGTAAGCTTTCAATGTAAAGACCGAAACAGTTCTGCATGAGGGCATAGGCTGCGAAGCGGGACCTGGGAGCTTCCAGGGGAGTGCTGACAGTAGAGAAATCTGTCCGCATAAAATGCCGAGACTGACTTATTGCCTATGCACAGGGACCCTTGTGGTCGTTCGGGCTGGGTCAGCAAACCAAGACTGACCCGCTACGACGGGACCCAACCTAAAGAGACCTTCCTCAATGGATACGGTGTCTGTTAGGTGGTAGTTGATAAAGACGTTCTGAGTTCTCCAGAAGCCTGGGACAGGTGGACGAAGGAGCCTGCTATCTGGCCAATAGAGGGATGTTATGGATCAATCTCCCTTTCGCTACACCAATCAGTGTATGCTTGCAGCCTAGAAATGTAGGCTGCATTGGTGGAATCCCTGTTCGCCCTGGCCAGGACGTTGGCAGCCCGCTCAGATAAAGCTTTTGTATGTGCGGGTCTAATGAGAGCCTCTATGCGGGTAAGTGATACCCGCTGGGCTCGTTGGTAGTGCGCAGTCTGGTTGGGACAGCAGGTCCAGTAGGTCCAGAAGCACTATTGGTGTTTCGACCAGCATTTTAGACAGAAGTGGAAGCTAGGCCTTGTTTGGCCAATTGGGTGCGACCAATAATAATATGCAGGTGTGCACCTGTCGAAGTTTTCTTCAGTGCCAAGTGAACTAGTGGGAAGGAAGGAAAGGCGTACACAACTAAGTGGGTCCACAGGGTTAGCAAAGCGACCCTGGCCCAGGCTCCTGGAGTCGGCAGGAATGTTACTTATGGTGGGAGCTTGGTGTTCCGGGGTGCGACAAACCAGTCTAATTTTGGGCCGTCCCACAGCCGAAACCGCCTGGAGGCTTGTATCAGCCACCCAGTGTTCTGCGGGGGCCATATCCTTGGACTTGTTCGTCCAGTAAATGCGTTCCCCAACCTTGGGAGGAGGCATCAGTCACCAGAGTCATACCTGCGGTGAGCGGGTCCAAGGGGGCCCCCTGTCCGAGGTTGGCCAGTGATGGCCACTAGGGCAGGGCTTCCTTCACTTGGTTCCAGATCAAAACCCGCCTATCTAATTCCCATAGGAGAGCTTGGTGTTATAACAAGCGTTATACAGGGCGGCTGCGTAGTGCGGCCTGGGGAACGAACCTTCAAACCGAGGTCATCATTCCGATGATCCGCATTAGTTCTTGGAGGGACACTGAGGGAACGCTGACTAGGCGTTTGGCTAGGCTGCTTAGCGCTAACCAACACGCTTGCAATAGCTAAATCAACCTTACCTCTGTGTCAAAACTCCATGCCCAGGGACACCAACTGTGTGTTGGGTCGAGGTGGGACTTGTCGATTTACTAACGAGCCCAACTGGTGAAGTAAATCCTGTGTTAGCCTGACGCGTTTGGCTATTACCCCTTGCCCGGGTTGTTGGTAACCAGTAGCCTGGGTACGGATTGAGGTGTTCCGACATCTGGTGAAGCAGCAGCACTAGCTCACTCTGGTGAACACGTAGGGCGCTGTGCGTAATTCGAATACTTGGCCCAGCAGGGTGATTTGAAGGAGATGGCAACTCGCTGGGTGCATCGGTATGTGCAGGTAGACCCCGCTTAAGTCTAGTGGGGCTAGCCAGTCGAAACGGTGGATGGAGAGAAGAACCCTGAATGGTGTCTCCATGTGGAACCGACCGAGGAGCACGTACTGATTCAGTCTGCCTAGGTCCAGAACTGGACGCCCGCCACTTGTAGGTTTGGTACTACGAACACATTTGGGTAGAAGCCTGGATTTAGTTCCGGCTGATGTACCTGTGTATGGCGCCTTTTCCCAGCAAACTGCTACTTCCTGTCTGATTGCTTCCGCCTTGCGGGAGTCCCCTGGTAGTGCCCAACAGGGAAGACACTGAGGGGGGAGATGGAGATTTCAGCGGTATCCCGTAACCGGATGTCACCACCTGGGAAGGTCCAGGGATCGGTCACCCGCTGTCTCCAAACCGGACTACACCGACACAATCTGTGTATGACAGAGATATGTGGCCATGGGTTCGGCAGTTGCGAGGGGGGGTGTGTGTTCTCTTCTCCCATGAGGTGAGTTTTCCAAGGCCTGAAGTAGTCACTAAGTTGCGACCTGACCACTCGCCGAACACATGCCTGTCCCCCGGTTGCAGAGGTGAGCGTCAAACACGCTTCCCCCGCTGCCGGGATAGACGTCCGCCCTGGGAGGGAGAGGAGCCACCACCTGGCTTTTTCCTCCCTGGGGGCATGCCACTACTCTTCCCTCCTATGGAAGGGTATGAGCGATTGCCTCCTGGCTGACTCTGGCTAGCGAACGACGCCTTAGGGCGTTGTGTTTTCTGTGCTTGGAGTGCCTTCCGCATGCCCTTGGCAGGGCCAACTGGCAAGCGGATTTGATCTGAACCCTCTAGTTTATTGCACTCCGAAGCTCCGAGACTGTACCCACCATTCCCTGAACAAAGAGGGTGGGAGATGTCCAGTTTGCATCACTGAGGTGGGGACGTACCCCCTGACTAAGCTTGTCGGCGAAAACACGTGTGTCTAAGGCCGCATCTTGTAGCACAGTAGTGGACCCGGCCAAGAGAGCCTGGTGACACTAGGGCATGTCGCACATAGATGTGCGGTGACCCGCCAGTAAATGTGTCGCCTGGTCTAGAAGGCTGGTGTGTTCTGCCTCCGAGGTCTCCAGAGTCCTGGGCGTGCACAATAATGTGCTCAAGCAACTCTGCCCTCAGGGCTGGATGGGTCGTCTCCGATTGAGCTGGCGAAAACGCCAATGGAACGTGGCTGTCCCCCTTTGCCCGGTTTGCCAAACGGAAATTCGTGGTACCGGGGTCTGGGGGAAAGAGCCTTGGGATCCGATTGGGGGAGTTTTGGTCTCATTCCACGCTATGCGGTCTGATCCCGAAACCACACCGACCGGGTAGCGTTTGGTCCAGTGGGAAGTGTTGCCTAAGGTTTTCCCACCCGGGGGCCTTAAGCATTACGTTCTCCGCGGCTGACTAACGTCCGCCCATCAACACCGTTTGCAGGTCCTGCGCCCCACTTCCACTCAGACGCACAGGGAGAGACGTGCCGACGGGGTTGCTTTGGATCCTGACACCTGTGATCCAACCTTAGGTGGTTCGCCTTACGATCAAGGGTAGGGGTATTTACATTGTATCACTGGGATCAATGATACTCCGCATCACCCCAAAAGCGTGGCTCACCGAGTCATTATGGATGGAAGACTCTTAGGGACCGCCCGGAGTACCAGCTGTATCCAACGCGAGCGAATTGTGTCTCCTTTCACTTTAAATATGTGAGAGGGAGCGTGTTCGACTGTGCGTCTCTGTGCGCCCGTGGGTCGGTAAGAAGGGAGTCCGAAACCCACAGGGGAGACCGGACACAAGGATAAATTCGTTACCGTTGTACCGTTACCGCGCGACGAACCCTGGC